AAGTTTGTTTATACATTCCATACTAAGATATGGCACAACACCAATATTTTTGATACTGAAATAGACACCTCGCTTCGACTGTTTATGGAAAACGAGATTTTCAGACATAATTTTCTTGTCTTTCTTATTATCAGTTCGACAAATTACCAAATTAATGAAGCTGGTGAAAAGCATTAGTACGTTATACAAGGGAAAGACAAACAAGGATTTGGGTTTTGTGCGCTATGATATTTTTTGCGATAAAATGTCATTAAGCAAATCATATGTTAAAACAAATGTTTCTCCCCTAACATCTGCAGATGCTAAATATCATAAACGTCGTGCGTATTATTAGATCAAACAATGGATGGAGTCGGATGAAAATATGGATCCACAAGCGCGGGGATGGATATTTCTATGGTTATCAGATTATGGCTAAACATTCCGATGAGTCACCTGCACCAGTTCCGCTGCTTAATGTGAATGTAGTTGTAAAGTAGGTTATTCAAGTCTAAGATGTAGTTGTAGGAAGCACGGACTTTTGTGTTGCAGGGAGTGTCATGGGATAAGTTGTGAAAATCCCATATGTCCCGATCCTGTTAACAAAATAACAACATATGTTAATGTCTGTCTGCATTCTTCACGACTATTGTTTAAAGTCAGTTTTGTGGTTTACAAGTTTTTTTTGTGTGTTTTTTCTACAATTATTTACTTGATTAAAACCAGTTACTGGATCAAAAGAGGGATGTGATACCCCTTGAAATTTTTGTGCTATAATGGACCTTATTTAAGAAACACATGATCTAAGTTTTTGTTTGCTGTTTTTGGCAAACATATGAAAGATAAAGAAGCTCCAGTTTTTCACGCGTGTATTTATTTGAATAAAATAAACCGTTATATTTAACGCTAGTATAAGAATTTTAAGTTTTTTATCAATATATATAAAAAAAAACATGCCAAAAAATTTAAGACTACCGTGGTGGTTCTAAATTAGCCAAGGATTGAAAGTTATATCATTTTCCCCTAATTTTTACGTTTTTTGTTTTCCCTAAAAATAACAACCGAAAACCAACTGTTTCTCATGAAAAAAAGTCACATTTTGTGTACCATATCATAGAACTGTGTATTAAAACTCACATGAATCATGTTTCATCAAAATCAACCAAGAAATAAAATGTTTCTTCCCACTTTTCTTTATGAAAATGGATTTTTTACCCCAAAAGAATATATTCCACTCAAGGACATCTTATATTTTCATGAGCATGCAATGTCCAATCGAGTACACCAAATTTCATTTATAATGAAATTTGTTTGGTGATAGAGGTCAAGATCGTGTAGATTGACTAAACTATAACTCTCACCATATATATACAGCTCATATTGTGTTGCGTCAGCGAGTCACGTGACTACTGTGACGCAACGTTTCTAGAACTAGCATGTACTTTGGCGAATGCTCTAGTAATTACTAGATATAGGGTAGGCTGGTATATAAAAGAAGGGATGTAATGTGTGTATAGATAGTGAGTAATTGATCTGCGGTCAGAAGTATTATTGAGCACGTTCGTCGTTATAGCGTTTGTTTAGCGCGATTGTTGAAGTTGAGTGTATCGGTAAAGTTATATTCGGAAAGAATAAACCAGTTTTATTAAGTAAAGACTTGTGTCGCTTAAGTTTCGTCGGAACGAAGTTACGGAAAATTAATTAACACACGGAGACGTAACATTGTTTCCCAAAATTTGGAGAACAATCCAGACGCACATCACCACATTACTTTAAACGTCCTTCCAACTAAATAAAACTACACATTTGGATGAATGTCTGAAATCTAGATCAACAACATAGACTACAACAGTACAATGAAAAACATTTTTCTACTGAATTCTAAACTCCACTTTTTAAAATTCAATATTTAGTTTCTATGAACACAGAAATACGCGTACACTGAAATAATGACACTTAGCCAGTTCTTAGATAGGTGCATTATCGTCAACAGCTAAATCATTTGTTTAATTTATCCCCTTTCTATACTTAAATAATCGTGTCAATGCGCTACCTATCCACCAATTCTTACATTTTATTTTTCTTAAAAAATATTTTGATATAAGAATAAGGTAGTGTTTATAGTAAAAAAAAGTTGCATTTTGAAGTAAAATAAATCATTTTTCATCTTTGTTCATAATTGTTTGTTTATTTATGGAAAAGATACTAAGGCTATCTGCCACAGTCCCTAATTTTGAACTGCCGATTAGAGAAAAGGCACCCGGTAAGCAGCACCCATCGCCAACTTTTTGGCTATTCTATACTAAAGAATAATGGGATTGGCTGTCACAACATAACGTACTCACGGCTGAAAGGACGATCATGTTCGGCGATGGGATTCGATCTCGCGACCTTCAGCGTGCGAGTCAGGCGCCCTAACCACCCTTGATTATAATACCGATCGGTTTGATTTAGTAAATGCATATCAATTACTTTAGGAATAAAGAAATTCAATTCTATTTTTATGAACTTTTGAATTTTTCTTTTATTTGTTTTTCCTTTCTTCCATTTTTTTTGACGCATAAGTTTAACTTTTAAAAAATATATCCACGAAGGAGGTAAGTTTTGTTTTATATATATATAGAGTAGGGTAAAAAATAAGACAATATATATACCGTATTTTTCGGAATATAAGACGCACCTTTATTTTGAAGACAAAGTTTTTTGGGGAAAAAGAGCTACAGTCGCATTTGAAAGATTTTCATTGAACAAAAATTAAATTTGATACTTT